TTAACAGTCAAGTGCCTGAGGCACTAGGCTACCAGAGCTCCTAGGGAGAGACATAGGGGATCTAAACTCTTAGAGACCCAGGCCTCCAGGGCCCTGTTGCCTGGGCAGGGTTGCCTCTTGGCCTGAGGACATTCTGGGGTGCTGCGGTGGTGACATCTCCCTCCCCTGCTCCCAGCCCCTCCCCAGCTGTCTACGCTTCGTCCAGACCAACATCTCCCACCTCCTGCAGGACACCTCCATGCAGCTGGCTGCTCTGAAGCCCCAGATCAAGAGCCGGAATTTCTCCCAGTGCCTGGAGCTGCAGTGTCAGCCGGGTAAAGGCTCCCAGCCCCCCTAAGCCGTCGCTCCCCCTCCCTTCCCCTCCTCCCAGCCCTCCACGCCACACTGGACGTGGCTCTGTCCACCCCGCTTGCTCCCTACTGGCTGTGTGATGTGAGCCATGTCCTTTTGATTTCTGGACATCTGTTTACTCATCTCTGAATACTCATCGCCAGGATTCTGGCTCACAGCGCCCCTAGAGGACAGAGTGGAACTGCACCACATGGGTTTCCACCACAGGGTTTCCTAGGCTGTCAGTCTTTACAGACGCAAAGCCCAAACCACACCCACAGCCATGGAGTTGATTCTGACTCACAGCGCCCCTAGAGGACAGAGTGGAACTGCACCACAGGGTCTCCAAGGCTGTCAATCTTCACAGAAGCAAAGCCCAAACCAAACCCACTGCCCTGGAGTCCATTCTGACTCACAGCGCCCCTAGAGGGCAGAGTGGAACTGCACCACAGGGTTTCCCAGGCTGTCAATCTTCACAGAAGCAAAGCCCAAACCACACCCACTGCCCTGGAGTCCATTCCCACTCACAGCGCCCCTAGAGGACAGAGTGGAACTGCACCACAGGGTCTCCAAGGCTGTCAATCTTTACAAGAGCTGATTGTTACATATTCCTCCTGCAGAGAGCAGCTGGGTTGGTAGTTGTTTTTAAAAAATTATTTCTGTAATTTTCACTTTATTGTGGTAAAATATGTGTAATATAAAACTTGCCATTGTCACCATGTTTCGTTGGACAGTTCAGTGGCATTCATTTTATTCAGCCATCCTATTTATTTCTCAAACTTTACCATCTCAAAGAGACACTCAGTGCCCCCTGAGCAATGACTCCCCTTTTCCTCTCCCTTAATCCCCTGGTCCCTCTAATTTACTTTCTGTCTCTGTGCATTGGCCTGGTCTAGTTATTTCATATAAGCAGGCTCATGCAACATTTGTCCTTTTGTGTCTAGTTTTTTCGCGCAGCATAACGTTTTCAAGCCTCATCCATGCTGTTGCATGTATCACGACTTCATTCCTTTCTATGGCTAAGTAATATTCCATTGTACGGCTAGAACACATTTTGTTACCCATTCATCTTTGAGTGGAATAGTTTAGTTTTAAGACTTTAATTTTGAAATAATTATAGATTGACAGGAAGTCACAAAGGAATGTGCACAAGGCCCCCTGCACCCTTCACCCAACCTCCCCCAATGTGAATATTTTGCTTGGCAACTATAATCGTAGTACAGTATCTAAACCAGGAAACTGACATCAGTGCAATGCATAGTTCATTCAGATTTCACCAGTTATACACACATTCAAAAGAGTCCCTGGGTGACACAGAGTTAAGAGCTCAACTACTAACTGAAGGGTTGGATGTTCAAACCCATACACAGGCACCTTGGAAGGCAGGCCTAGCAATCTGCTGTCAAAAGGTCACAGCCTTCAAAATCCTATGGAGTGGTTCTGTCCACACATCTGGTGTCGCCACAAGTCAGAACCAACTTGGCAGCAACTGAGAACAACGTACTCGTTTGTGTGTGTGTATGTGTGTGTGTGCATGTCTGTAGCTCTGTGCAATTTTACCACACATGTAGTTTCATGTAACCACCACTACAATCAAGATACTTAACTGTAACCTCATGCAAAGCCTCTATCCCAGCAACCATTCATAGTGACCCCTCTGTGGGTTTCCGAGGCAGTATCACTACGGAAGTAGATTGCCCAGCCTTCCTTCTGAGGAGTGGCTGGTGGGTTTGAACCACCAGCCTTCTGGTTAGCAGTCAAGTGCCTTAGGCACTATGCCACCAGAGCTCCTTCTCCATAATTAGGTTACTGATTTTAATTTTGATGATATTATACAATTGTTTTTAATAGTCATATAAATAATTTATTTAACTCAGTATCTCCGAATCATTAACTTTTCTTTTTTTTTCTTTTATTTATTTACTTTTTATTATTGTGATTTTGGTGAAAATTTACAGAGCATATTCACTTTCCATACAGCAGTTCACATACACTTTGTCTCATGACATTGACCACAATTTCCCACAATGCAACAGCTCCCCTCCTACTTCCTCCTGATAGTTACCTCTTCCCTGTGTCCATCCCTCCATGCACCCCTGCCCCCTGAGCTGTCTCCCTGTGCATACACAACCCTTCTTTCTCCCACAAGTCATTACCTTTTCAACACACACCGCACCACGCCCACTGCTGTGCAGTCGACCCTGACTCATGGCACCCCCTTGGGTCAGGGTAGAACCGTGCTCCACATGGTTTTCATTGGTTGATTTTTCGGAAATAGATCGCCAGGCCTTTCTTCCGAGATGCCTCTGGTTGGACTCGAACTCATGGCCTCTCGGTTAGCAGCCAAGTACATTAACCATTTGCATCATCCAGTGACTCTACAAATAGTCTTAATTCATAGGATCAGAGTTGTATATTTATGTATGTACTTGTGTGTGTACTGTTGCTAAAATATAAATATCTAATTTTTAATATTTGAAATACATATTCAAATATTTAAAATATTTTATATTAACTCTCTCATATACTGTAGAAATTATATTAAAAAGGCAACAACTCACTGCCATTGAGTCAATTCTGACTCATAACGACCCCCACTGGGTTTCCAAGGCTGTAAATCTTTACAGAAGCAGACTGCCTCATCTTTCTGCCAAGGAGCAGCTGGTGGGTTCAAACCACTGACCTTTTGGTTAGCAGTCAAATGCCTTACCCAGTGCACCAGCAGAGCTCCTTATAAATTCTATTAATGTTTACATATTTCAAATATTATGTATATTGGATACCTACGTACAACCATTTCGTATCTTAAATGTCAATGTGTTCTATTCTGTATACTGTTTATATAAGGAAGCTGTTTTGGGTTTTGGTTTTGGGCAGCGCAAGGAACAGTTAAGTGCTTGGCTGCTAACCAGAGGCTGGTGGTTTGAACCCACCCAGCAGCTCCATGGCAGAGGACCCAGAGATCTGCTCTTGTAAAGATCACAGCCAAGGAAAACCTGTGGGGCGGTTCTGCTCTGTCAAATGGGGTCGCTGTGGATCCAAAGTGGACTCAACAGCTTGTAACAACAATGTGTCATATACATATAATATGAAATTTTTCATAATTTTTTCAAATTTTTTTCCCATCAGCCTCTTTGGAAGTTCTGGTGGCCTGATGCCTACGGCATTTGATGGCTAACCAGAAGGTTGGAGGTTCAAACCCACCAGCCACTCCTCCGAAGGAAGGTTGGGCAATCTACTTCCACAGTGATACTGCCTCGGAAACCCAAGGAGGGGTCGCTATGAGTCAAGTCAAGTCAATGGCAGTGACTTTGGTTTGGGCTTTGCTTCCAGTGGGTGTGGTTTGGGCTTTGCTCCCATAAA